CCAAAAGAAGTAACTTGCCAGATAACTTAGCAGTTCTTAACTGGTGGCCATGGGTTCTTATTGCTAAAGCCATTCCCAGGGGGTTGAGTCAGAGCCCTGGACCAGGGGAGCCTGTGCCCTGTGGCACATGGACAGGGTTTCTGACCTGTATTCTTGCCCTGCCTAGGCTGTATTTGCAGGCTGCTGGCAATCTGTGTAATCAGTCATTTGTCAGAACACTCCAGGCTCAGGAGGTGACCTATAATGTTCCCATTTACCCTCATTTCTCTCTGCTTCCTCTTATTCTCTTGGAACACTGTGTTCCGCCTTCTGGACCAGACTTGTTTCTGGCATTGACAACTTGTCTCTGTGCCCTTAGTCCCAGCTGGGCTTCCCCACTCACATACACCTGACCTACTTGTGTGCAGCCTTGATCTGGGAGAGATCCAGCTGCCGTTTTTTCTAGCGGAGCCAGGTTCTTATTTCAAACAGGGGAGTCTTTACTAAGCTGTCCCACTGGAAATGACATAATAGGATGGATCCACTGCTAGGGAGAAACCTACAAAGAGAAAAAAATGGAGACAGCTCAGCATGGGGTCCAACTGGCAGAGTACACTTCTGCATGCAAGGGACTGCCACTCCAGCAAGAAGCAAGGGGAAGCTCACCAGCCTGCATGGCACTATCCCTTCTGATCTGCAAGATGTTTTACATTCTTCCGTTACCTCATGGCAACCCTGTCCCTGCACCCCACGGTAGAGTCGCAGAAGTTGCTTGGAATTCTTCACACCTGTCAGACTTCCTGTTAGTACTTTCCCATCCTTACTAGACTTTTCCTCTGGGCCTGGGGCCTGTCAAACCCTGTGGTTGCCCAATTGGGGAATTTATACAATCAGCCTTGGTAGATCCTAGCAGTCATGTGCTCAGGAAATGCAGAATGGATGGATGGATGGATGGATGGATGGATGGATGAAGCTAATGAATTAACTTCTTCAGCTGCCATCCCTCTAAAATCCTAAATGCAAATTCCTCACACCACACTCTGAAAACTGCCTATCTCATCAGGCATGTGCCACCAGTTGCTGGGAAGACTGCAGCAAGTTTGAAGGCCACAAAACTGAGCACCTTAGTGAGCCCTGTCTTAAAGTAAAAAAGGGGACTGATGATAGAGCCTCATGGTAGAGTGCTTGCCTAGCATGTGCAAGTTCCTGTGTTCAATCCCCAGCACTAAAATGCTCATCTCACAAGTGAAATCCTGGACCATGATATGAATCTGTAAACCAGGCTTCTATTTTAGTCTTTGTCTTTCCAACTGAAACAAAAAACACTGCTAAGTTTCCACCTCCTGCCTGTTCTCTGGCGCCAGGGACATGGAGAAGACTAGACAGAGCCACAACCTAATGTGAATAACCCTTCCTCTCTTGTAAACAGTGTTTTGAAATGGAAGCTCTGCTATATACTTGATTGGACCTTTCCATGCTGTAATGTAAGCCTCTTCCTCTTTCCCCACAGTAGAACGGAAGCTCCTTACCGCTGAACTGCCGAGGGGGCAGCTCCTCATATAAGGCGGGGAGCAGAGGCTCAGCACTGACGTCATCTTCACCTGCATCGTCTGTGTATTGTCTTTGATTTTCATACTCTCTACTTTTGTTTTAATGAGTTAGTACATAACATGCTTTTATAATGTTTGAGAAAATTTCCATCTGTGCACATACCATTAAGAAGTAATGTTTTCCTATTTTTCAAAAATAAATAAATAAAAATGAAGGAGAAAAAAGATTAATCCTTCCCTCTTTTCCGACTCAAATACTGAATCTTCGGCCCTTTGAGGGTTGGCATAATTTAAGAGTTAATTCCTTTCTAAGCTCCTTTCAAGGCACTGCACTCACCATGCAGATCTCATTAAACCCCATAGTCTCTTCCTATGGACAGCTCAGAAAAGGCAAGGTAACTCCTGTTGCATACTAAAACATTCTGCTCAGGAATATTGCCTTTTGTCCCCATTTCTGAGTATTTATCTATTTGGCCTCAAGAAGAAAAGCAGACAGACGCCTGTTAGAACTAAAGAAGGAGCACTGGGCTTCCATCTCATTTGTGGAGACATCTGTTTATTTTGATGCACAGGGCTCACATTTCAGGGTTTGCAGTCCTGAGTGGCTTCAGCCTTAAATCATGCTGAGTTGGCAAACAATAACAAGGGCCGGGCTAGGAAGGAAACAGAGGAAGCCTAGGTACTGCACGAGACGAAATAAAAAGCACAAGCAGGCCAGTGCCCCCACCCCCGGCAGGTATGTGTTTCTACTGCATGCACCTTGGAAGCCAGTGATAGAATGTTGAAAATCATTCTATTCTGAGACTTCTTTGGAACTGGTGTCTAGTAGCAGGAGAAACCTTGAATTTTTTTTTTAAATGGGTAAATTTTTAGAAGTAGTTTGTTGTATGAAGTGATGAATCAAATTGGGTCATTTTAAGTGGAAAGGTTGAAATGATGTTTATACATGTTTATATGTGGAGATGGACTTGCTCCTTGTGCTGACTCTCCCATTTGTCTTATTTGTGATGTAGGAAATTTTACTTAAATGCACTGTGTCAATTTTCCTTAAAAAATGGGCATGATACAATGAAAATTTAGAAAGATTTTAATGAGTGACCAGTTTGGGTCTCATCCTTCTCACTTCTAAACCTCCATGTCTTTTGTATACCAGTTTGTTCTGAACAGTATCTTCACAGAAGTCTGGAGTCCTGGAATGCAATTATTGATCTAAGAGACACGCGAGTCAGAGAAACCATGTGACAGATTAGGATAGTGAGAACCATGATTAAAAAGGAACATCCTAGAACATCAGGGTGAAACTTTGAAAGAAAGTACTTATTTGGCATTTGTATTTAGGGCTATTTTTAAAAATACACATGCCACACACACAAAATAAAACCATCTGACTACAGCCAGGCCAGTACGCTATGAATAGGCTATTCTAATATGCTGCCACCCTGGGAGAAGTGGATGTGTCCACAGCAGCTCAAGGGATACTGTATCTTTTACCTGAAAGGCAGAGGTTGGCCTTCTGTATCTTCACGCTTCTTTAAGACAAGTGTAGCACTCATTGCTTTCTGCCTCTAGGCTTATCTAACCATTCAGCACAGCTAAGCAAAGAATAAAGCCATATAGTAGGTCAAGGTGTCATCTGTTCACGATAACCCAAAAGGAGAGGGGGCCAGAAAGAACAAATGGCAAAAGAATCTAAGAGAGGGAGACAGGAAAAAGAGGAGAGTAAGGGGTGAAAAGGAAGTTTCGCTTCCTTCCCGCAGACTGGTAGCAGGTCATCATATCCTATCTTGGTGTGATCATCTGTTTACTTGGAAACTTTATCATACCACCAGAGAGAGTGCTGTTTTCTCCCAAGAGAAACACCCTAGGAGAAGACTCCCCTCTTACCTACTCTTGCAAATGCAGAATGATATTTTGACAACCCTGTAACAACATTTAAAACAATGATGTTTAAAGTATATGCACACATTGAGAAATGGCTCAATCTAGCTAATTACCCTAATGCATCCCCTCATATATCTGTCATTTTTATAGTGAGAACACTAAATAACTGATCTTAGCATTTTTCAGAAATACAATGTGTCCATGGAAACTATAGTCACTGGCATGTACAGCACATCGTCTGGACCTGCCCCTCTTATCCAACTTTAATTATGTATTCTTTGACCAACATCAGACCCAGTCCCACCCAGTACCCCCTGGTCCCACCCAGTCCAACCATCTATCAACCACCATTCTACATCCTACCTCTGTGAAATAAACATTTTTAGATTTTGAGATCAGGAGATTGTCTTTGTAAGTGTGGCTTATTTCTCTTAATATCCAGGTCCATCCCCAATGTCACAACTGAAAGGATTTTCTTCTTTTTATTCCTGAATAGTACTCCATTGTTTATATATCACAGTTCCCTAATCATCCATTCATCAAGTCATAGACATTTTGGTTGATTCCATGTGCTGGCTGTGGGGAATACTGCTGCTGTCGGTACACATGGGAGTGCGGGTGTCTTTTGACACAGGGGTTTCATTTCTTTTGGATATATACCTGCCAATGGGTTCTGTGATAATTCTGTTTTTACTGTTTACCATAATGCCTGTGATTATTAATATGAGGGCTCTGTTTTTTCCATATCCTTGCTAACACCTGTTATCTGTTAAAAAAAAATCTTTGTATTTCACCTTTGAAATTATTTGCTTCATCACCACACTTAAAAATCAACTCTGCATTTCACTTGGAAAACTTCCCCTCCTTATCTCTGTCTCATTTTGCAGTTATTTTTGATATGAAACATAAAAATTTTAGAAGGGTAGGTCAGTTTATTAATTGAATGAAAGCAAAAAGTGTGATTATCTAATAGAATTCAGAAATATACATAGCTAATTTTACACCTGCATACCTCCGACCTAGTCATATTATAATTATAATCACTTTTTTGTGTCATTGCACCTACCCCCAGGAGAAATAGAGTAGGTGGGACTGAGTGATCATTAAAGTATGCACTTATAAATTGAACTTTCCCAAATGTAGGTCACTTGGGCAAGATGGCTCTTTAGAACAACCTAGGCTGACAATTTGATTCACAGGACATTTCAATGTCAAATGATGTTCTTTCCACATCCTAAATCATAAGGCAGTGTAAACAATGCCCTAATGTTAAGAAACACAAAATTGCATTCATAGTAATAGCAAAGCTCATGGTGCATGGTTTTATACCTCAGTATGCTGTGTTCTGCTCTGCCATGTTAGTATTTTAAGTAATATAATTTCCTTCTTTAGGTTCCTCTTTAATCTTTCTCTCTCTCTCCCTCCTTCCCTCCCTCCCCTTGCCCTCTCTCCCTCCCTCCCTCCCTCCATCCCCCTTCCTGAGAAACAGAAAACATAAAGTCAACTAATCTTTGTGAGATAATACACATATAGTAACAAAAATGGATTTTAAGATTCTCTATCTGAAATGTTGTTTTGTGTGCTTTACAGACTCAATCTGTGTCCCAGGCTTTGATCCCAGCCTCAACATGATGACTGGAATTACCCCCATTAACCCAATGATCCCAGGCCTGGGACTGGTACCACCTCCACCCCCAACAGAAGTGGCTGTTGTCAAAGAAATAATCCACTGCAAAAGTTGTACTCTGTTTCCTCAAAATCCAAGTAAGTAAAAGTGAGAAATATTTGCTCATCATATAAAATTACCTTTTCATCATACTTACCTGGCAGGGGAGATACCATGATCACGAAGGTGGTTTTCCCAGGGTGAGGCTTATCCATTACATGCCAGATGTGCTGACCCCTGCAATTTCCCCAAATGTGGGAAACTCGACTGCACACTTTGTAGTAGTGGGGGACTGCATTCACGCTCTCCCCTGAAAAAAAAAGAAAAAGAAAAAAAAATTACTTTTTCGTTTGAAATAGTATCATGTAATTTTCAGATGTGAACACAGCCACATACAGAGTGGGGATCTATTCTGCACAAGGCTTTCGTCTCTGCATTAGAACAGGTGAACGGTGTACAGAGCTGAGTCTATGTGTCTGTCCAGGAACAGAATAAACCCTGGGAATCCTGTGCTTGGGATCTGAGGATTTGCATCCAACGTTAAGAATCTTTTCTGAGTGAAATGAAATCTGGCTTTCCTGGAGAATGAAGTGTGCAATAAATAAGTACTTGTATCTACCTTCACAAATGTGGGAGAGAAACTCTAAAGTATGCTTTGCTAGATAGAAACTTGAATTAATTTGGCAGTTAGTGATTTGGGGGCAAGGGGGGAGGCTGCATCTTAAGATTTCCGGGTCAAATTGCATGTGCTTGAAGGACCTATATTTTTGATGAAGTAAATGAGCCAGAAAAACTTTTTTTTTTAATTTAGCCTCAGTAAGTTTATAGGCTTAAATAGCTAGAATGCTTTTTATTCGATTAATCAATGCTGCCTATTTTGAGTGGACGGCTCAGAAGACTGCTTTAGTAACCTACCTATAAACTAGGTAAAATGTTGTGACAGTATATACTTTGTCTTTTCATACAGCCTCCTCAAAATTTAATAGTTTGCTCATTTAAATGTGAATAATAACCAAGTATTTTTTTTCAGACACAGCATTTTACAGCCAGGTAAGTATTTTGCCTGCCCTCTTGAGGTGTGTCTCCTGCATTCTGCCATGTTGCCCCTTTATCTAGAAAGAAGACAAAGCCTATCACAAGCTGAGGTTTTTCATCCTGTTGTCATTTCATTATGTTTTGTATTTTGTGAAGACTTTTTGCATCTGAGTTATGAAGGAGATAGGAAATTATGCTAACATGTGCGTTATCTTTGTTCGTAACAAGCATAGCCACTCTGTGTAGGAATGAACAAGGACTTGAAAGGACAACTGGGGAAGGGGAATGTAAACTGGTATAAAAGTTGACCATGTCTCAGTCTGGAACAAGCAACTCTTCAAGCTTGACTTCTACATGGTGAACCAGGTAAAGAGCCAACAGATAAAAGATAGAACTCTCTGTTTCATTGTGATATTAGGTCTTCCACCTCCATCCACAAGAGAACGACCTCCGGGGTGTAAGACTGTGTTTGTTGGAGGATTACCAGAAAATGCCACGGAGGAAATTATTCAAGAAGTCTTTGAGCAATGTGGTGATATTACAGCGATACGAAAGAGCAAGAAGAATTTCTGTCACATTCGCTTTGCAGAGGAATTCATGGTTGATAAAGCCATTTACCTCTCTGGTACTTTGCTTTACATAAGGGGTTTGCTAGGCATTTTGTCATGTTTTATGATGTTAATATGAGCTCATTCCCTTTTGCCTTAATGCACAATAACGTCCTGATAGTTTGGGACTTGAAAAGGAGGAATTCTGCCTTTTAACTTGGCTGCCACATGCTCTTTGTTAAGCCCGTGAATGTAGCTCTCTGCAGGAAGGATTTCCCACCATCCAAGCTTGAGGAATTCCATCGAGTTTCTAATTAATGTTCTCAAGTGCTTATTAGATGAAAGCAATATTATGAGTACTGAGGACCATTATTATTATTGGATGTAATCCTCTGGAGGGAGTAAAGTACTCTCTCAGAATAATTTCAGTTTTTTTAAAGTACATTTACTGTCTTCTTCCCAGGATATCAAAGCAAAATCAGTTCCTTGCATGGAAGTAGCTCTCGGGCCTGTGATAGGCTGATAGGCCTGTATCATCACACATTTGGCAGCTCATAGCCTGCTCTGCCGTCCTTGTCATCAGTGCCAGATTTTATGAGTTTTTTTGTTTTGTTTTGTTTTTGTTTTTTACACATATTAGAAATAACCCTAGTGCTCTAGTGCTGCCTTCCATTCTGAGTATTGGAACAGGTATATGGTGTCTGTGCACAAGACCTTGCTCAAACTGAAGAATAGCAGGGTAGATATCAACATGTGACTTTAGAAGAACCTATTCTTTTAGATTCAGTTCACCGCCCTTTGGTGTGACACTCAGTGACATTTTTTTTCAAATGCCACTCTGCACATCACCCACCTAATTCTGAGCAGAGGTTAAAGTGGAAAATAACAGGAAAGAAATAAACAAAACAAAACAAAACAAAAAACTTGAACACCACCACCAGGTTTTACTTAATTTCTGTTGTCAGCCTCTGTTGCCATGGCATACTGTGTAAATTCCAGATCTGAGGCTATCTTAACACCTCAGACACTTTCCTGAACTAGATAATGATCCAGAAAGCATTAGAACCCTTACTGCAGTAAAACCTTCTCTAAAGTGAAAGATGAAGTCTGAAAGAATCCCACAGTGAAGATGTAAGACAGACCTAGTATACTTTACAATGCACGCCCAGCTGTGAGAGCCTGAAGGTTCTACAGAGAGCAGAATGCTCCCTGGCCTAGATAAGCTCTCTTCCTGTTCCCACTGTCTCCCTGCAGAACAGTCATAGCTTACCAGCAAGGACTCTTAGGTAGGACTAATCAAATGGATATTAAGTGCAGTGTGGAAACCATTTGGTACATGATTCTTTTTAACACAGCAGCTAATCAGGATGAAGAAAGACAGATTCTTGTTTCTCAGTAACCTCTGCCTGGAAACCTGGGTTCTAGTCACCAAGTTTAGTGAACCTATTACTTATCCCTAAAACTGTTACTCTATCCCACATGATTTGGGAAGAGGGATAGAGTAGACAGTAACACAGTACAACCCGTAGACCCAAACAGAAAATACAGAAGATGCTGACAAAGATTGGCAGTGCTGAATTCACACATACAGAGGGAGTTACTTAAGCCCTGATGCTGGTTGACCCCATCCTTTTGTAACAGGAGGAGACCCCAGCACAGGCCTCACTCACCTAGAGCCTCCCTTTCCTGGGTATTGAGCAGTCTCTAGCTCTGCTGTGGCCCTGCAGAGGGTGAAGCTGCAGCAGTAGCGCTGAGAAGGTCTAAAACCCAAGGTAACTAGAGGGACAAGAAGGAAGGCAGGTTGCCTCTCCTCACTGTAAGCACCTGCAAGCCCAAACCCAGCTGCAAGATCTAATTTTAGGAGCACTTTTACTTTTGAGGGCCAACCTAATTTCAGTCTCAGCCTCATCAGGGTATCTTTTACGGCCGTAATGATGCTATTCTGATGAAAAACAGGGCACTTCTGGGACCAGAAATGTCAAGAAAATGGTTCTGTGGATGTGAACAGGGGAAAGTTGCTTGACCAATAAGCACAGCTGGCCAGTCCCAGGCAGTTCTGCCTGCTCAGCTGTTATTTACGCATCACCATGGTGTGCTAACTTTACTTTCCACTGCTCACAACCAAGACACATTTACTTTAGCATGAATTCTGTGCACCTGTGATCGGCTATTTGCACGGCTGATGGATATTGTTAAGACTTCCCATTTTTTTAGATACTACTGTTGAATTCAATGGCATAGAAACGTTAGATGAGATCTGGAGCTTATTTGCAACTTTTCAAAAGTGTCAAGAGCCCTCCTTGGGAAAAGCCAGCTTCCACAGGGATTTGTTGTGTTTTAACCCCAAATGCTACAATAATCCATTGAAATCTACCTTGACATGGTACAGGTCCACACAGCACAGCCTGTTGCAGTTCATTTCCAGAGCCCTTGCATGGTAAAAGTGCTTATTTTTGCTCTCTCCCCTTCCAGCCCCTTGCAGGCTGGTTCCTGCTGGGACCTGAATTAATGTTCTGAAAATCTGAGCACACCAAACTGAAGAGCGACCTCAAAGTCAACTCTTCTTCATTTGAAGTTAGGCTGACTGGCTGGTTTCAGACCTGTGTTGACTTCTCAGATCAAGTTTCTCCTCTTAATCTTTATAAGTTGGTAGTCACAGAAAATCCCCCCAAAGGTTCCCACAGCCCATTTTTTTTTTCTTACCTAGCTCTGAGCTCTTGCACAGGGCTCCTGTGGCCTTCAAAGACTGCGTGGACAGTTTGTGTGGTGCTGCATGCTGGATGAGGTAATGCGGGGCTGTGAGGGAGGCCTCTTGATTGAAGGTAAAATATTCTCCTGTGTGCCCCAGAGGATAAGTGGAAATAAAACAGCATTGCAAAATTGCCTGAGTAATTGTGCCTTTTGCAGCTGCTGAGAGAAAACTGAGCAGCAGTGTTTCTAGAATGAAGCAATAGGCTGTGAGGAAGGTGTTCTGGAATTTACTTTGAGATCCCTTTAAATATCATAGATGCTCCTTATTTACTCAGACCCTGCCTCTTTCTAAAAAGAATTTAGGAGTGCTTATTGCAATAGAGTTATAGTAAATTGAAAACATAAAGCAAGGCTATAGAACGGTAGAGAGCAAAACACACCAAATTTGTTTCCAAGCTTCCCAGAAGCCAGAGGAAAGGAGTTACATGATTGGTCCCCTAGTCCTCTGTTGGTGACCCTGGACTAGAACATGGTAAGGGACCCTCTAAGATACCTCCTGGGGGTATCCTTATCCCAAATCTGTGCTAGGCTTAATTTAGCAGTATTTCACAATTAATTGGTTGGCAGGTTGGAGATGCTTCCCATCTCCAATGGGAAAGGCATCCTATCCTGAGGCCAGAGAAACAAGTGTTTGTTTTCCTAACATGTTTGGAAAGTCTAGACCAGAAGTTATGTGTGTATCTTGACCAGACTTTTCACTACTTTTAGGTTACCGAATGCGATTAGGGTCTAGCACAGACAAAAAGGATTCAGGCCGCCTTCACGTCGACTTTGCCCAAGCCAGGGATGACTTCTACGAATGGGAATGCAAGCAGAGGATGCGCGCCCGTGAGGAGCGGCACCGTCGCAAATTGGAGGAGGACCGACTGCGGCCACCCTCGCCACCGGCCATCATGCACTACTCAGAGCACGAAGCTGCCCTATTGGCAGAAAAGCTGAAAGGTAAGTTGGGGCTCCCACAGGAGTCCCAACATTGGGCTTGGTCACCACATGATGAAAGAAAAAGATCCTCTCCAGATGCTAGAACCCTGTGTGCTCCTTCCCCTGAGGATTCCATTTGAGTGGCATGAGCTGGAATCTACAGGCACCCTGGGCTTGGTCTTCCTCCCAGGGACAGAGCCCTGCCCTGTGTTCTCCATGGATGTGAGTGCACTGTTGTTCTATGAGACTCCCCGAAAGAAGGGCAGAGGTGGGCAGCCCCAATCCCAGCAGCAGGTGGCTGTGTCCTGGTTGTGATTAGTGCATCAGGGAAGCGGCCCCACCTGTTAGTGAGCACTTTCTGGTGTTGGCTGAGTCCTGTGTAGTGTATAGGCCCACTGCACTCTGAAAGTGCTCTCTAAGGATATGGTACACGATGCCAGCCAGGCTTCATGGAGGAGAGACACTTCTGTGTCTTCAGAAGTGGTGCTGCAGGGACACATCTCACCTCTGCAGTTGAGTATCCATCTAGGAGAAGTCATTCTTCAATCTCTACAGCAGCCTTCCCTGGGTTTGAGACTGAGGAAGTTGGAAATCCATGGAAGTAAGAATCTGCCCTGCTAAATGCAGTGATGATGGGGAAAAGGCCAGATTTAGAAATTAGGATGGTGTGTGTGTGTGTATTCAGGTCTATTAGTGACCAAAGTGCATGAGCTGAATGAGACTGTACTAGTTTACTTTCTGTTGCTATAACAAAACACTGACCCAAAGCAACTGGGGTATAGAGTAAAAGGGTTTATTTGGATTATAGGTTATATCAAGGCAAGAGTCAGGGCAGGAATCTGGAGGCAGGAACTGAAGTAGAGACCATGGAGGAATGCTGCTTACTGAATTGCTTCTCCTGGCCTGCTCAGCTACCCTTTCTATACAGCCCAGACCCACCTACCCAAGGATGGCACGGCCCATGGTGGCTGGGCCCTCCACATCAACCACCAATTTAAAAAATGCCTCACAGATATGGCCATGGGCTATTCTGATCTTGACAGTTATTTACCTGAGATTCCTTCTTCCCCGATGTTGACAAAAAATTAACCAGCCAAATATCTAAGCATTTTATCGGCCAGTGGCAGTCAGAGCCTCCTGAGGTTTCTGGGTGCTGTCAGGTCTATGGTAGGTCACAGTTGCTTCTGTGAGTGTGTACAGGTAAACCAGTGAATGCAAACAAAGCCGATGGTGTGAGGGTCAGCCAAGGAGGTATATGCAGTATGATTCTGGAATGCCAGCAAGCATGAACAAGGTGGATAAAGGTATCCGGAATGCCTTCACAGAGCAGGCAGATTTGAACTTGGCAACATAAATCAGACCACCCCCCCACAAGTTAGAAAGGTGCATGAAGGCATGCTAACCCAGAGACTGGAGTCCTGAGAACAAAGATGCACTGGAAGCAGAGAGGATTTGGCTCTGGCACTGTGTTCCTAAAATGAGGTGAAGCTGGAGAGCATCTCTGCCAGTTGGTGAAGTTCCCAAGGCTGTCACTGCTTTGGGGTTGTGTTCCATAAACAGTGCAGGGCTCATTTCTGATGAGAGGAGGGGTGTGGTTGGTCCTCAGAGGGGTTTAGAGGTAGCTCATATATGGCTGGCGGTGTCTTAAATGGGTGGGTTGTCCTTATAAAGAAAATGTATTAAAAGCTGTCCAACACCTATTTTAGGAAGATTGGAAATGACATTCTATGTTTCTAGCCTGCATCCCTGTCTGAGGTAAGGACTCCTAGTTAACTCCAGTTGCCACAGAACTGCCCATTGTGCAGCCACTGAGTGCTGCCTGTTGGCACTTGCTCTGCTGCCCTGAGAAGGCCTGTTGTACAAACATTAATACACAGGCAATGGCTCTCCCAACACAGGCCCTTCTTGATCCAGCCTGTGAACAATAGTTCTCCTAATAAAGAGTGTCCAGAATGACAAAATAAAACAACATTTACAATCAGGATTGCTCATTGGAAAATAATTAAATAAAATTAATTAAATAAAAAATTATTTTTTATTTAGGGTCAAGTGAATTTTGTGTACTGCTTTATGGTGTCCAGACCCTGAACTGTATTCAGGTCCAGCTGGCTCAGTCTGGAGAGCATGAGGCTCTTAAGCTGTACTAAGTCATGTGCACACCTTGGTTCTGTGCCCCATGGAGAAATTTCATAAAAGTTTGGCATCTTTATTATGTTGTTTTTATAAAACCAGCCTCAAAGTGTTTTACATGCGTGTATGAGGTATATGGCATTTGCCTCTCCTTTAGGAGGGTAGCAGATCGGAATGTCAATTTGGTGGAGTAATTTGTGAGCCTTGCCATTTCAAATATATATATTTATATAGATGAGTATAATTTGCAGAATTCAGAAGATGTACCTTTGCCAAGTACTGTGTGATCCCTTGAGGAGAGAACAGATTGGAAATTTTAATAGATGGCTGTTACAGTAGAATGAACTAGCTGAGGATACATCTTAGGTAAGAGTCAGGTAATATCAAGCTTGACAATTTCAACCCAAGCACAGAGTTTGGAATATAAACAGCATTTAATTGCTTAGGAAATTGGCTGCCTCAGAGAGGAAACCCACTCCATGCTCCTCATAACACTGCAAAGCCAGGCAGGAGGAGCTAGAGAAACTGTTTCCCTGAAGATGATTTCATTGATGTGGGGATATAAAATGCAGTGAGGATGGAAGGCACAGAAGCCTGTGTCAGAAAGAAAGTGAAAATACAATCTGAAAATCCCTAATTGGGTTTGATTTTTTTCCTCCCCTGAGAATCCTTGCTATCTTGGGTTTATTGTACAGTTTCCCACCATTTTACATTGTACTTATTTATTCTTAACAATTTTATTTTTGAAGATCAGCTGTGTTCAGCAAAATCTGTACAAACCAAGTCTTTATGATGACCCACGAGGCTTTCCACACAATTGCACATAGTAGGCATTCAGTACATTAATTCCTTTCTCTCTTCTCCAAGTATATGAATCTATGGGCCATCAGAGCTACTAGGTGTGACCACAAATGAGAAAATGGATTGTGTTCAGCCCTCTTCCAGTCAAGGAAGAGGTGTTTTACATATACCTGGCACTAGGTACTGGTGCTAGGTGCTGGGGGAAGAGAAAACAGCATACCAGCCCTTACCTCATAGAATTTAAGGTTCTTGAGAGATAGAGGCAATAACAGATCATCCTGTACTTACTACTGACAGTAGTGGTTTGTTTACTTAAATATACATATAATACACACATACGTATATGGGAGAAGGTCTAAATATAATCAAAATGTATGAAATGCGCAAAAATTCAATAAATTTTTTAAAAATTATTAGCCACAGCAGCATGCACCATCATCATAAGTGACAAGCATAAGATGTTCTCCCTGGAAAGACAGCCAAATCAGTGGAGCAGTCATAGTGTGAGAGAAGGAGCAGCTTTGGGGACCAGATCACCCCATTCCCTGACTGCTTAGCTTTCTGAAGCCAGAGAAAACATTGAGTTGCAATTGTATAATGTCTGAGGCACAGAGTCACCAGGCGTCTGTTTCATTAATACAAATTCTAAAAAGGAAAATTAGTGAGCACCCTGCTGATTAAATAGACATTGTTGCGAAACAATTCAACGTAATGAAGACTGACTGGGAAGTGACTGCACAGACCCAAAGTTTATAGCATGGCTTTGAGAAAGTGAGGAGCTCAATAGAACCATAATTACATTTTATTGGAAACAGTGGCACCAGGCAGATGAGATAATGAATTCCAGTATGTCTCACACAGCCCATGCAGCCCTAGAGGAGCCTGGGGTCTAGGCTGTGTAAGGAAGACATCGATTGGACCATGAGGAAGCATTCTATTCTCATTCACTGGGAACGTCTCTGGGCAAGAACTTTTTAAAATTTGTTCTGTACTTTCCCCCCTTTGGAAATCTACACCCAGTCTTTCATCATGGGAAGCAATGAAGAGTTTCTCTATGTATCAAGTGAGCTTCTGACAAAGCTCTGCAAGCAGTGTCCCTTGAATCTCCTGGTGTGTCACCAAGAACTGAGTGCCCCTAGGATCATGTTCATAATTTTCAGAGGGCTAGGCTCATATCTGCATATAGCACAGCCAGCACTGGTCTGCCAGGAGGCAAGAGTGGAAGGGGTCCTGGCATTTTGCAGAGTTGGTTGTCAATATTTATGGTTCCATGAAAGTAAAAATCTATAATGCTATGAGCCAAGTGGGCATTCCATTAGTAAACAGCCAGGCCTCCTTTGGGCAAGGAAAATGGGAAGCACAGGAGCCTACTTGAGAATCACTTTCCTAGGTGTTATTGACCTTCATAGAGGCAAGATAGACCATTTCATTTAGAAACATTTTGATTGACCCTGCAGCAGGAATAATCAGTACATTTTCAGATTACCTCTTAATTTTCTCATTGTTATAGATACTATGTAATTGCAGAGGCTGTGTGTTGCGGCAGAGGAAACATTAACCACTTGTATAACCTTTGTGCTGTATTTTGGTTAACTGATGCGTGGTTAATTGAGCAGTCAGAAATAGAGACTTGTTTGGGTCAAATTCCCCTTTGTACCAGTTTTAGCATCTTACTGTTTCTTCATTAATTAATAAATAAAATATTTGGCACATACACATTTTATATTTGCAAGAAAGTCATGATTTCTCTGCTAGGGTCCCCTTAACACCCCTGGGGTAGACCTCCTGAGAGGAGGCATGTGCTGCCATCACAGCAGAGGTTGGTGACACCTGATAAATTTTAATTAAATTGTTGTGTGGATAACGATGAGCCAAGGTGCCAGATTGGTAGGTAGCTTTTCCCTCCTTTTTTTGTGAGCTGAAGGAGATTCAGCCCTGAATTTCAGAACAGTAGGCAGGTCAAAGTCAGGCCCTGAGCATGGAATAATAAACCTAGGTGGGTTGTTGTGCCTTTATTTATGACTGGCTTTATGAAAGGACAATAGGAAGAGTGGTACCATGATTGAACAGGAAGGAGAAAGAGGAAAAGG